ACATGGGCACTTGCCATGGCAACACATTACATAGGAAAGCCCTCGTGGCAGATTAAGGATACGAACATGCAGAGTTATCACTAACTCCAGACCAGAAAACCTGAAATGTGTGGGGCTCAATGTACTCACAATTCTTAAGGGTATAAAAAGAAGCCTGTTACAGATTAGGGAGAAAGCATGAGAAGTTACTTCTCTCCCCCACTTCCACCTGCAATATGTACAAAGAAATACGGGACGTTAATTTGGGGAGATATATACTGGAAGGACAGGCATGCAGGTCATGCCAATCTACAGATTTGTGGAAAACAAAACAATTTATGTCAAACAGCCTGATTTCATTCTTGAAGATTTCACAACTCTAACTGATAAAAGCAAATGTTTAGACACAACAGACTTTTGTATGGTATCTGAATTTGTACCTTGCAACATTTTCATTAAAAAGTACACTATACTACATCAAAAAAATAGACAATGTTAATCTATTTCCTTATCTCAAAAATTAATGTAGAAATTAGTTAATGGAAAGTCTTTATTGAACAGGGATGCAAAGGTTTGAAGGGATATGTATTAGTCCAAATTTTATTCCACATCTTTACACTGACTTCCAGATCATTAATAAAACAAATAAAAAAAAATCATTCTTGATAATATTTACAGATGATAAAAATCAGTCGAATCATAATTTAAGGCAGTACATACTTGTACAGCAGTCTGGATCCCATCTTTGACTCGACCCAAATCAAAGAAATTCATTTTAACATAGTCAAATCAAAAGTTACACATCTGGGGGGAAAAGGCTTGTGGGCAGTACCATCCAAAAGGACACACTGTATCCTAGAAGGCAGATTCGGAAAAGGATTTGATGGTCAAAAAAACAACTCAATAATCAAGAGTCATTGGAATGCTTTGGCTAAAAATCACTAACGCAAGCTTTGGATGAACACATAGGGGAATGGCAAATAAGGAAAAGGAGGTCATTTTTATCTTTACAAAGCATCAACGAGACTGATGTTATGAGGTCTACATACAGTTCTGGTATAGAGGCTTGCACAGGACCATATATTTAATCCCACTTCTATTCCACCCCACAAAAATTTTCTGACCTGTTTCCATCCAAGTGTTCCCACTCCTCACCACCACCCTGCTCGTTATTTTTGTCCTACACCCATCTGCAACTTAAATCCCAATGAATCCTGCACTTAGAACAAACTGCCTGACTTTATTTACTTATTTATACCAATCTGTTTCTGCAAATTCCCACAACCAGAATTTTGCTTCCACCCAACCCAACCAACAGCAAAATGTACTTTCCAGCTCCTACTAACTTGTTGGCAAGTCCTGTGGGTCCCAGTAATATTATGCTGTTGTTGTAAGGCTCCATTTCCATGTTCCCACTGTTGAAAAATTGGAGATGTGCAGGAAAGAGCCACAAAATAATTCAAGGGATGGATAAAAATGGCTTACATTGAACTCCTTAAATCCCACAATCCTTTAAGCTTATCAAAAAGAATACTGATATGTGACTTGATTACAGCATTTGAGTAACTTAAATTTGGGAAAACAAAGACTTTTTAACCTAGAAGAGAGGCATAACAAAAACCAAATGACTGGAAACGGAAGTCAGGCAAATTTTCAAATTAGAAATTAGGCATGTTTTTAACAGAAGATGAATGACCACTGGAACAAACTACCAAGGAAACAGTGGCTTCTCCAACACTTGATTTCTTCAAATCAAGATGCAATGCGTTTCTGGAAGATATGCTTTAATCAAATATGTTACTGAGCTCAATGAAGGAGTAGGCAGGTGAAATGCAATGGTATGTGAAATAAGAGGTCACATTAAGTGATCAAATGGTCCTGACTGGCCTTAAAATCTATTACATTTGTTTTACAGTGGGATATACTACACTGACAAAACCTGAAGATTTGACAGAGAAAGGATATACACTTATGTATTAAAATAATTCATAAAATCATTTAAAAATGTCAGCACTTCTGCTGCTTGCTCTACTTCACTTCCCACTGGTCATGTAGATCATTTTTCTATTAAACATCCAAGACCATCAAAGAAATTAAATTTTCTCTACTAGAGAAAAGACAGGAATTCTGTTCTTAAGTGGTTGCCTGAGTAAGTTTAGTGGGTTTGGTACTACAAGAGGTCTTATTGAACAAGGAAGGTTGAATCTAAATAAAGCAGAATTCAAGAGTCAGATTACAAGGATTTTATTCCCAGCTTTCATACTACCTGGCTTTGCTAATGTTAGTGAACTACAGCCTCTTTCGCTTGCATGTTTTCAGTCTATGGAATGGACAATGCTTAATCTGTAAGGGTGTTTTGAGACTCATTGTTTAAAAGCCTTGGATGAGTTTAGTTGAATTTACATTACAGCTACATCTTGATACAGCCTGCCACATCAGGACGAGTCACAGTAGGAGTTATTGATTTACAACACTTGAGAACAGACAATCATACTTTTAGAAATTATGTTAACATCATCCAAAAAAAATTTGGGTTTTTGTTTTTATACTAGGCCTACTAAGAAATGTATTTAAACCCCACCTCCATCCCACAAAAGCCTAGCAGCCACTGTTCCTCCGGAATATAGGATTTCACCGCAGTATTGAACAGCGTAAAAGATGGCCAGCAGAGGGAGTGCACAGTGACTAACACTGTCCCCTAAGACTCAAGCATTGATAAGCATGTGTAAGGGCTAGTGTACCAAAAAAATACAGCCAGTCATTTGTGTTCTAAGAAACAGTGAAAGAAAAAACATGAAGTCCAAAGACTGGAAAATGAAAGGGCAACCACAAGTTTCTACAAGTCAGTAAAAACAAAAGTAATAAATCCAGGCTATTTTTCAAGAAGTTACTTTTCAGTGTCTGTTAAATGTGATTATCAAATTCTGCTAAAGCATCCCAGTGAAGCGGGATGCTCCAACAATACCCTTCAACAGCATGTACTGCAATATGAAGGCAACACCCAAAGTATACTGTGTTTGCAATGCAAGCACATTTTAGTAGTAGTCAAACATGCTTATTAAAAAAAAAAAAAATCAGATTATGTCATAATTCAAGTAACACCAATACAGTACTCAGTACAACAGACTTCTTTATTTTCTGGGATAGGTCCAATTCATTATCTTCTGCCCCTTAGTTCCACTCTGTTTTTAAGCCGGGTATAAAGCATAGGTCAATGAGTGTTGTTTTAGTAGTTCTGTTTTCACTTCTAGCTTCAAAAAAAAAAAAAAAAAAAAAAAATCCCTGAACAAAATTTAAGCATTAAGTGATATAATCTTCTGCTTGTTATGTCACTTCATAAGTCTACAATGTCCCTTCTGCAATGCTGTGGAATCAAACAGGTGGAAGCCTCCTTTCCTATATCCTGTCCAATGTGAAAGTGCACTTACTGATACAACAGTATGTGCATGTGTCCTGTTTTGAAACCTGTCCAGGTAGGAACCAGTCTTACTACACTTTACAAGTCACCTTGGAATCCATTTTAGCCCTTAAAAAACACCACCACTCTCATTACAGTTATTTATACTCTCAAATTTAGCAAAGCTTCTGATAGATTTATGCCAAAACATACTTCCAAAAGATTCAGCTTGTGAATATTACAGCAATATTAGGAAACAGACTGTTGCCACCATCAACTAAGTTGTCCTATACAAAAACACAGCTTTTCCCTAACATTACTTTTTTTTTTAGCAGGAAGTATGGCATTTCTTTGGTGTTCAGTTTATCTTAAAAGTACATTTTCAAACAGCCTGTACAAATGCAGGTTTATATTAAAAGACACAAATGTCAAGGTGACCTGTTTTGTTTGAGTTCACGAACTGAAGACATCTGTAAGAAAACCAGCACACCTGAAAAGATGCATATACCCAACCAACCCAACCAAGTAATCCTAATTACAGATGTCTGCAAAATGACAATTTAATACATACATTTAAATGATGTATATAACCATGCTGCTCATAGAGTTGTGTGGTTACAAAATTAGACATAAAATACTAAACTGACAGCTTGATTGTAAGTATATGCATTTAATGTTATTCTTTATTACTTGTTTCTAAGTATGTAAGAGAAAGCACTTACGTAGCTATATGCTTTGCATGATGCAAGCGATATATAAGCAATGCAACTAAAAAGCAAGATACCTGGCAAGAAGTCAGATTTATAAAATTAACAACCCTTTGAAGTCATAAGGAAATGACAGAATATGGAAAATTATATTTGGCTTTTCTTACGTGTGTTCAAATGAAATTTTAAAGCTTTCCAGACTTCCTAGTGACATAATGCCTTTAAAAAAAAAAGCACAGGGAGTGTCATATGTTTAAATGCTTACATTGATATTTCTCCTTTTGATCAAATTAAAAGAAATGAAAAAGAAGAAAAGGAAAAAGAAAAGGAACACTCAGAGATGCAACAGCATCCTGTTCTAAGAGCTTAAGGTTGACTGAAATGCTTCCATTAAAATGTATCAGTCATATACCTTCCCCATTAAAGGGGGAAAAAACCCATAAAACTATTTAGCTAGTATTAATTTTAAATTGAAGAACAAAAAATGACTTTGATAAAAATCTACTTAACTGCATCAAGAAAAGATTAATATAAAATAAAAATGTATAAAGTCCCAAAGAGTTTTAAAGCGTTAAAGCAGGATTCTCAAAATTATACATTCATATTTTGCTTTAGGGGCTTGGCGGACACTGATCATGGAGAAAGCTTTATTAGATAAAACAGACATTAAAGCTTCCAGGCAATAAAAACAGTACACAATATGTTTAAATTCTTATAGCAGCACACTTTAGACATATGCAAAACTGGAACAAAAAATGTAAAAGTTAACATTTGAGATGACAAGTTAACAGAAGATTCAAGTTTCCTTTAATAGTCAGACCACAGTAAACCACCAGATCATTAACAGTTAGATTCAAGGCAAAAGAGCGAACATTTTAAACTGTATTCCAAAGATGCTTTAAAAAAAACAAACTCACCCAGCCTGTCACTATGTGCTTGTTTTAATATTTGTTTTCCACCAATCTGTCTTGCAGACTGAATAAAGAATCAGATGGTTTCAAAAAACAGTGTGGATGAGTTAAGTTTCTGTGCCCAAAATACACTACAGTTCTACTTTAAATATGAATCCTGACTATTAGTGTGCTTTTGGGTTGGGCTTTTCTCTTACAAAGATAAGCTGTTAAGTCATGCCTTGATTTTAGATCTTCCAACATATAGATTCTTCTAATGTATCCTCCCCGCCCACAATCAACTCCGCAATACTACTAGTTCTCTCCCCCCAACTATCATCAAAAAAGGCACTGCAGGGCAGACATTCCTCAGGTGCTCGCTAATGGAATTCCCAGGGTCTCTGAGCAGCTTCGGGGATCAAGAGATCTCATAGCCCCTGCTGGGGTAAGGAGCAACGAGTCTGTTCCATTTAATCAAATACAGAATGAATTTTCAGCCCTATTCACTAGGCTGTCTCCAGGGCTCCAAAAAGGCATCAGGGAGCTAGAATCATACTAATGTGGCTCTTTCAGGCAAATATAATTAGTTTGATTTCAAAAAGCCACATTAATAACATCACCTCAGTACTATTATTCAGATCACGAGGGTGATATTGTAGGGAATGAAAAAAGAAATCATGGAAAAGGTTTCACTTCCTTGTAAGTTACGACTTTAAGAGTGACAATCCATATAATTCTATACAGGAATGCTCTTTCCTTTTAACTAAGGATAAAAATCCCCTTTAACCCATTCCACTTAGATGCAAACAAGTATTAAAAATAAAACTGGCAGCAATCCCTGCCCCAACCCCAATTTTAGCATGCATGTTTGAAGAGAAAAAAAAATTAGGTATGACATTAAAATATCCATTATAATTTTAAAGATGCTTTTTAATTCTGGAAGTACTGAGACTACCAAAGTAACTACCTCATTAGTTTTCAATCATTTTTGTTTACAACTCAAAGTAGATAATCAGCATTGTTTACAATGATACCCTTCTACAAGTGTGCTGCTAGAAGGGCATCATTCTGTATTGTAATCCTGACATCCAAACAAGGACGGCATCCAAGAGATTCTACTACCTGCAAGCACTGGAGAATTTAAAGAAAAGAATAAACTGGAATACTTTTACTATTAAAAATGTAATACAATGCGACTTCTGGGATCGTCCCCAAACTTCTATTAAAACAAAAAGACAAACAGAACCACAAATTTCCATTCTTCAGACACACAATTAGTTGTATAAGGGAAAAAAATTCTAATGAATTGAGACTTTTGCCACAGCTTCCATTAAAGTATGAATCCAGCATGTAAGTGTCATCTACCTAATTTAACATGAGCAAAGGAGGTCATGGAAACGTTTTACCAAACTGGTAACCATGCCTGATTAGACACTGCAGACACTGGAACAAGAACAATTCAATCAGGTTTACCTTCCAATGTTGGGGGGGGGGGGAAGCATTGTGACAAGAGCCCACATTCTGTTACACAAGAGTTCTTTCAACTCTGCCTTGCTGACCTGCATTAAGCGACTCATTTAAACAGTCAATTTAATTAGATCACTTCAAAAGTCAAACCACCTGCAACAGTAGGCAAGAAATGAAGCAAACCAGAAGGGCTGGATCAATATGTTCCAAGATAGTAAGTTTAACGCCCAAAAAATATACTGGAGTATTTTTTCTAAATATTAAAGAGTCTGAACAGGAGCAGTTCAAACAGGGCAAGAATAAGGCATTACCTCACCAGTGATCTTCTGGGAGCTCTGCTAAACTTCCTTCATGTAACGGGGTCTTCCTCTGATGCTTATGCCTTAACTAATGCAGTCGAACAACAATAAAAGCCATCTCACACAGGAGCAGAAATTAAAAAGTAAGTATTACTTTGTTTTTAGTAGTTACAATACTCCGCCTAAATTCAGCATCAAGAGGTGTCCCCTCTTGACAGTAGCTGCCTACTTCTCCAAGCTGCTGATCTGTACACTACACATTTTGGACACGTGCGTGCGCACCAGCGCGTGCTCGGGCCAGTACGAGGGCTTGCCGGTAGAGCAGTGGTTATAACCCAACAACTTGCTCCTCGCGGAGCGTGACGTGCCCTCGCCCCCAGGGGCGGCCCCTCCCAGCACCCCGCTCAACGTGCCCTCAGGACAGGAGAGGCGAGGCGAGAGCTGCACGCGAGTACCCCGAGGGTCCGACTTTGACAGCTGCGGGCCAGACCGGGCCCCGCTCCGCCCATCGCGAGTCTCTGCCGCAAGACACAAGTGTATGGTTATATTTACCACACGGTGACGAGCCCTGGGGCCCGTGTCTGCTGCCCGCGGGCTGACCCTGCCATCGCGCCCAGGGGCCTGGAGCTCCAGACCCCTGGCAGGTCGAAGCTCCCCGCGGCTCGGCAGAGGCCGGAGGCAGCCGCCCCCCGCGGCTGGGCCCCTCCGCTCCCACCTGCCCGCACGTCCCGGCCCAGGCTCGCGGCTGCAGGGCTGGCGATCGCCGCC